TCACAGCCATGCAGGAGGTGTTCTGGGGCAGGGGCCTGCTGCCGATCTGGACGTCGGGACCATCGCCGAAGCGGGCTTGGCAGGCAGTCTGGAGCAAGGAGTTGGCCGATGGAGTCGTCACCGTGGACGGCTTCGTGGACGGCTCGGGTAAGAACCTCACAGCCGCGGACATCATGAGAGTCGGCTTTGGCTGCGCATCGGTCGACCGCCTCGGCAGGGTCACTGGCGCATGTCACGGCCCTTCCCCAGGATGGCTGCAGGAGGTCGGCGAGGGCGAGCTTTTCGCGGTAGAGGTGATGCTCCACTATGTCCACCCTCCGTTAATCCTCTACAGCGACTACCGGAACCTGCTGGACGGGATTGCAGCGGGCCAGCCCATTGCTGCTCGGCGGTCGACGCGTATGCTGAGCAGTGGAGGCGCATCTGGAAGCTGATCCACGACAATTGTGCGGACCAGGTCCAGTTCCGCAAGGTGGAGGCGTACCAGGCGATCTCCAGGCTCGGGTACAGCACGGTCGAGAGGAGGCTGGCGCTCGGGCGCATGGCCGCCGACGAAGAGGCTAAGCTGGGAGTGGAGTGCCATCCGAAGTGCTGGCCGTACGAGGTGAAGCACTACGAGCAGCAGGTCCAGACCGTGGCGGGGATGACGGGCCGGACAGCTCAGGTCGGGGCGCTCGCCAACACCGAGCCGCGCGACAGCACAGGCCAGCAGGTGGTGGCAAAGGCGAAGGGGCAAGAGGAGCTTGAATGGAAGGTGCGGGCCCGTCCGAAGGCGGCACCTCCACGGCCAGCCGCAGCCGCGCGCCGCGGACACGCTCTGGAACGCTCGCAGGCGGGCGCCAAGTGCGTGTCCCAACCCCCCCCCCTTGAAGGATCGTTAGGGGGGGGTCCGAAACCTCATTTTCGAGCGAAAGTGCCAAGCCAGTGAGCAGCGGAGGCAGCAGCCAGAACGGGCAGGCAGCGATGGTTGCAGCAGTGGTAGCAGGGGCTTCGACCAGCGCCTGCAGCGGCCGAGACGAAGGAGGCGACGCGCAGGGGGAGATGGACAGCGACGACGAGCCGCTGGTGAAGAAGGCGCGAGTCCAGACGACACCTCGCCAGGTCCAGCGGTGCTTCGTGGAGGCTGGTGCCCAGCTGCGGCGAGGCGACGATAAGCGGACGCGAGAGGGCACCGCTCGTCGGGCGGCAGTTCGGGCTGCTACCAACTTCGATGACGGTCGCACGGTCGCGCTCGCCAGCGTCGGCAGAGCCACGGCAGCGCGACTCCAACGGCACAAAGGCCCACAGCTGTTCATGCTCGACGACGTGGGCCAAGCAGGCGGTGAGGAGCCGCCGCTGAGGCACAGGCCCCAGTGGCTCGGCACGGAGGTCGCATTGTGATACTGGAGCGACAGGTGCGGGGCCAGGTCCAAGCTGAAGGAGATGCTGGCGAAAGGTTTGTGCAGAGGCCAACCAGCTGCAGCGGAGGCGGCGCACGATCGCCACCAGCTGATGACGTTCGGCACGGTGCTATTCTGCACTCCGTGTGGAGTGCGAAGCGCGGGAGGCCCGACGATGCACCTCAGCGAGCTGTGCCTGCGCGTCCCAGCGGACAAGAATGCGCGGGCCAGGCTCTCCAACCACATGCGGAGGGGCAGACACCCGCTCACCCACCAGTTCGTGGCGGAGCCGATGACGCTGTAGAGGGCCCCCGTCGACTGGGACCTGCTCGGGAGTGGCGGGCGACGTGGTGACTTCAGGGAACCTGCGGCCGAGGGCCTCGACGCAGGTGACCCACTCCACGTCCTCGCTGCCCCCGCCTCGTCGGGCTCCGCGACGACTCCGCCCTCGTATTGCCGTGTGTGGCCACCACTCGGAGGCCCCAGCACGTCACGTCGTCCTCGGCTCCCTCGACGTCGGCGACTGGGCGAAGAGCGGGGCCGCCCGCAGGGGAAGGCGCCAGCCCGTGGGGCGGGCCCCCGCCAGCGCTCGGCGGCCGCGGGCGGGCGTCGGGCGCGGCTTCGGGGCGCGGGGGCACAAACGCCCCCTCTCGCAGGCTGAGCTGTGCGCACTCCTCCTCCTCCTCAACCTCCTCCTCCTCCTCAACCTCCTCCTCCTCCTCCTCCTCCTCCTCCTCCTCCTCCTCCTCCTCCTCCTCCTCATCCATCGTCCTCCCTCATACTCCCCCCTCCTCCCTCCAGGGAGGAGGACAGGGGATCGGGCAGAACGTGGAGGGGAAGGACGGGTCGGCAAGACGGGGGATGGAAGAGTGAGACGGGGCGGAACGACGGGGGATCGAAGAGGGACTGGTTACGAATGGTCCTGAAGCCTGGCAGTCCATGATGTCAACCACAGTGATTGTCGTCCGAGTCTGACTCGCCAAACTCATCAGGCGAAGCTCGGATCGCTGCCCCCCCTTCTACTACTTCCGCGAGGTGCGAGACAGGAAATGCCCCCCCTTTTTTTTACACGACGAGTGAGCCCATAGCCACTGGGAAGCGGTGCGGTACAATGAGCGGGAGGAGGAGGAGGAGGAGGAGGAGGAGGACAAGTGTAAAATCGAGAGTCACCAACGATGTTGGAATGCATCCTCCCTCCAAGCTCCCTCCCCATCGGTCCCTACCAAACATTCAGTCCCACTGAGGCACATGCTTCGTCGGGAGACAACCGTGCGAAAATCAGAAAGCGTGCCAAAACGCCATTATCAGCACTTCAAAACCACGAGTCAACCTGACGATCCAGAACCGTGTCAAGACACCATTCCTGAGACTCCAACACTGCGAATGTGACTGTTGCGCTCTGGCAATCCGGAATCGTTCCAACACACGCGTTCTGGTACGTCAACTATGAGAACTCATGAAACTCTTGCAAACGTTTGGAACGAATGTGCGCGGCGCAAAGGCGAGAGCCACGTGTTGAACAAGCATCGCTGAATCCGTGAAACTCGTGCCAATATTCAAAACGAATGCGCGCGGCGCGGTGCTAAGGCGAGGGCCTCATGTTGAAAACGAACCATGAACCACCATCAACACGTGAACTCCTTGCAAGTGTTTCAAACGAATGCGCGCGGCGCTAGGGCGAGAGCCTTCTTTTGAAAACCACCCGCCCTCCATCGGTGAAACTGCTGTCAGGTTCTAAACTTCAAGCTCAGATAATAAAGAATCCTCAGGCGAAACGCCCAGCCCGCACTTCCGACTAGCCCCGGGATGCGACAGGGAGCAGTTATTCATCAGGGGATATAATTTCTAAGAGTGGAGGAGGAGGAAAAGGAGGAGCAGGATAGAGACACAGCAGCTGCAGCGACCGTCGGGGCCTTCCGCCGCCCCCTGCTCAGCCCAACTCGGACCAATATCCCGCTGCTGATCCGGCTTCGCCCAATGCTCCTTGGCACAAACAATCGCCTCTGCCTCCACCAGTGCTGCCGCTACCTCGCCGATGAACAGCATCCTCTCTCCCAGGAAATTGGCCTCTCGCCTTCGCTTTGGTTCTCCCTTCCCACTCCCAACACACGCAATCGTGCCCCATCGTGCCATCGCCCATTTCCTTCTCCTCCATCCTGCAACGCATGCCCATCAATCCTGCTCATCCATCCTGGTTCTTCCCCATATACACGTCATTGCCATTCTTCAGCATCATCACCCTAATCACCACCGCCATCATCATGATCATCATCATCATCATCATCATCATCATCATCATCATCATCATCATCATCACCATCGTCATCGTCATCATCATCATCATCATCATCACCATCATCATCATCATCATCATCATCATTATCATCACCATTACCATCAGAGGCATCATCATCACCACCACCATCGTTATCATCATCACACCATGCGAATCATCAGAATCGGCATCAAGAGCATCATCGTCATCAGCATCATCATCACCATCATCATAAACATGAGCAGGATATTCGCCATCATCATCAGCAACAGCGACATCATCCGCACCAGCATCAGCAGACTCATCATCATCATCATCATCATCATCATCAGCATCATCAGCATCATTTTCATCATCAGCGCTTTCCTCCTCCTCCTCGTGCTCAACCTGCTCCTCGTCCTCCTCATCATTATGACCATCATCATCATCATCATCATCATCATCATCATCATCGTCACCATCATCAGCATCATCAGCATCAGCGTCATCATCAGTATCATCATCTTCAGCATTATCAACATTATCATTATCATCATCGTCTTCACCGACACCACCATCTCCACCGCCACGCGCACCACCACAACCATCATCAACATCATCAGCATCACCATCATCATCGTCACCACCATCGTGATCACAGCATCATCATCATCATCAGTAACGTCACCAATAACAAATTCATCATCACAATTAACAACACGTCACCATCATCGTAATCTTCGCCACATCAGCATCATCAGCAGCAGCATCATCACACCACCACCATCATCGTTCGCAGCAACATCGTCATCATCGTCAACGTCGTCATCGGCCTTGTCATCAGTCATCATCAAGATCATCAACATCATCAGCAGCAGAAGCAGCAACAGCAGCAGCAGCATCATCATAAGCATCGTCCTGGTTCAAATCACCCCGAGTCGCACTATCCTCAGTAGACTCGTCATCGTCATCATCATCACCATCATCAGAAGCTTGATCATCCGCATCATCATCATCATCATCATCATCATCATCATCATCATGAATCATCATCATCATCATCATCATCATCATCATCATCATCATCAACAACAGTATCATCACATATTTCAAATTCGTGCTCAGCATCACAATCCTCCCCACCATTATCCTAATGTGCGTTCTCCTCACAGCGCCCCACCTTCTCCTCCTCAATCCCTTCCATCATCCTCCCTCCTGCCGCTAACTCCTCTCACCAGTCCCCCCCCCGTCCCTCCTCCCCCTTCCTCCTCCTCCTCCTTCCTCCTCTTCCTCCTCCTCCTCCTCCTCCACCTCCTGCTCCTGCTCCCCGCCTGCTCCCCCCATCCCCCGCCCCCCCGCGCCACGGCCTCCTCGCCGAGCGGCGGCAGCTTATTCAGGGCCAGGTTGTGCCAGAATCTTGGGCGGGAGCCAGCCCCCCCCCCCCACCCCACCCCCACCCCACGAGCGCGAAATGTCCGGCGCATCCACGGGGACCTGCTGCCCTCCCCGGGTCGGCTCCCGTGACGGCCTCCGAATACCACAGAGGGGCGAACAAAACGGCCGTTTCCTCGAATGTGTCCAGGGGCCAGATGTCTGTACCATCCTCCTCCTACTGTTTCTTCTCCTCCTCCTCCCCAGCATCTGCTCTGTGTGATGATCATTCGTCTTCTCAATATTGGACACGGTTACTAACACGTTAAGTCCTGAATAGGTGTTTGCTGACGTTGCTCGTATTACCATTCGTTGAATGACTATGTGCACTCGTGGTGGCATGTGCCGTACTGTTTTGAATATTCCCCGCAGTGCTCATCTTAAGTCCAAGTTCCCGATGCATCACAATATCAATACGTCAGACAGCGTGGCTCCCGAACTGAGTGTTTATGAAAAAACGCAAGGTGCAATCGATGTGAACCAAGATGTGCGGTGCAATATGTGTAGATCTATATACGTCGTGCAATCTACGTAATGCCATCTATGTTGTGCAATATACGATTCACAATACTATACGCAGTACAAGAAATGTGGTGCTATTCATTCGGTGCAACAGATGTCGTGCACTCGATTGGATGATCTATATATATATATATACTAGAAACATCGCGCGCGCTTCGCGCGCGCTCAGGTTCTAGCTCAGGCCGGGGTGGCGCTGGACGATCTTGGACAACTATCAAGCACAGGCGCGCGACGGCTGTTGGAGGCACCTCTTGGGTGCTTCTTGGGGGGGCGTCTGAGGGTCCCTTGGGGGCATCGGTTCTGCAATCTGAAGCCGTCATTGGCCGTCTTGGCTGCATGGAGGCCCGACTTGAGGCCACCTGCGGCCAGATTGAGGCAATCCGGAAGCCTCCCGGGGGCCTCCTGGAAGCAGTTTTGACGCATCGAGGGCACTCTTGGGCTATTGTAAAGCCTCTTGGACGTCTCCTAGGGGCCTTTTAGGCCCTCGTGAAGCTTTGGGGGTCCTCGTCGGACCACTTGGGGGCCTCTTGCAGCCTCCTGTGGGCCTTGTGGGGGGACCGCTCTGCTGTTGGGTCGCGTTCCCCTTCTTGGGCCTCTCTTGGGGCTCTTGGGGCCCTCTCGGCCGTCTTGGGCGCCTCAAACACCGTCTTGGGGCCCACGCGGGCCGTCTTGGGGCCCTCTTGGAGGCCTCTTCCTCTATGTGGGAGCGGTATTGAAGCCTCTTGGGCCGTCTTGCAGCATCGGGATGCCGAAAGGCCGAAAAAACTTAAACCCGTCAAAGCCCAATCGTAAAACAATGAGTTGTGCCTCTTGGGGCCACCTTGGGAGATCTCTTGGAACCTCGTCGGCCCTCTTGGGAGCTTCTTGGGGGCCTCTTGGATCCGATTGGGGGCCTCTTGGGACTTCCCGAGAACGTCTCGGGGTCTTGGAACGTCGGACAGCCGAAAAGGCTGGAAGGGCAAAATCGTTCGAAAACCTTTGTAAAATTGACAATTTCGGCCTCTTGAAGCGCTCTGGAGAGGCGTCTTGAAGCGTCGTGGAGTGCCTTGGGGGGCCTCTCGGGCCGTCTTGGGCCTATCTTGGGCGTCCTGGAGCGGTCTTTCGGCGACTCGGGGCCCGCTTGGGCCGTCTTTGGAGCCTCTGGAGGCCCTCCTGGACCAGGACTATTTTGGGCCTCCCCGGCCGACCCTCCTCCCATGGGGGGTCGGAGGCGGCGGCCTCCGAGGCCCAGGACGCGGAAACCCTTAAAAACACATGGAAAATGAGCCCCGGTACCCCCATGCCCCCTCGGGGCAGCCGCCCCCGGCGCCCGGGCGTCGTGCACGGGGATATATATATATATATATATATGTATATATATAGTTTATATATATATATATATATTATTATATTATATATATATGTATGTGTATATATACTAGAACCACGCGCGCGCGCTTCGCGCGCGCTTAGGTTCTAGCACCCCCCAGACCTTGACAAGCTCACAGATGCACGCGTGCACGTAAACACAAATTGCTCGCACATGAAGTGAAGAGGTAGCAATCGCGCGGACCGAACAGAGACGGAATTCTGACAAGTATACACACAGACGCATGCAATGCGAATCCATATGACATGATCGTGGAAATGTCATGCAGTGGCTATGCAACGTATTGCAACTCAACGCAAACTACTGCAAGGATAAATGAAGCACAAATGACATGCAACGCAACGCTCTGCACATCAAAAATTTGGAGCGGCCATTGGGATGTCGGCTCGTGTGATCGTTGATCCATCTTGTGCCACTCTGGGGCTTCTCTAAACGCTCGTTGTTCGGGTGTTGCGCGGCGTTGGCCGGAACTTCTCTTGGGGCCCTATCGTGGCTGAGTCGGGGCTGTCCTGGGGTGTGTGGGGGTTCAACTGGAGCCCCAGAAAGCTTGTTCCGGGAAAGGTGTGGAGACCTCCAGGGGGCGATGTATCGTTTTGTGCACACCGTGCGACATTTATGCAGCTGGCTCTGCATGCCTGAAGACGGCACGGTGGCCAACGTAGACCTCTTACAAAGTCAATTTCCTTCCGCGGGCTTCAGACGAGGTTCCGCTGGCTTCCGCCAGCCAGATCGCCCTCGATTTACATCCGCCAGCTTCCGCGGGCCTTCGGCCAGCCTCCGCGGTGACCAAGAAGACGACTTCTGAATTCCTTTAAAACGAAAGCCTTGTTGAAACACTCTACACGGACTTGGGCGCCGGGGAAGGGCCTTTGGGCGTCGAAACACCGAAACGCGTGGCACCAAACTCGAGAATCCATATAGAGCTCGATACTGGCCTGTTGGCATCCAGCCTATCCCGCCACCGCGTTTGGGTTGTGATGCAGAGGTCTTTTGGATGCCGGTTTTTTGGTTTGACAACAAGTGAAAACAAGCAGTACCAAGACGCGTACACATACAAGCAATGCGAAAATCGGTGGACGCTCGCGCACTCGCGCTTATGGAAATGTCGGCAACAGCCGAGCTGAAGGATACTGGATGGTTCAAACATGCGACCATCCAGGCAACCCATACCCCTTGGGGGAACCACTAGTTGGAACAAGGTGAAACAGCATGAAAAGAACATGAGTGGCATAGGGGGTCCCCCTTGCACGAGCGTAGCGAAGCTACACTGAGCGAAGTCCGATTAGACATTGCGCGGACTACCCCAAGCCAGCTCAGACAAGGTCTCTTGGATGCCTGTTGGGGTTTCGTGGGAAGCCTCTGGAGAACCTACTGGAGGCAATTTTGAAACATATTGGGGGTCGTTAGGGGGCCTAGTTTGGGCCTCGTGGAGCCGGAAGGCGATCTCGGGGGTCTCCTTGGGGCGGATGGCTCGAAATCTCAATTCGAGTTTTCTCTCTCTCTCTCTTTCTCTCTTTCTCTCTCCTGGGACCCTCTACTGTTGAGGCTCCCGTGGGGCCCTATTGGGCACCTCTTGTTGAGCCGTCTTGAAGCCCTCTGGGGCAATCTTCACGGCCCGAACCCAATCTTCAGACCAGCTGGAGCGGTCTCGGGCCGCTCTCGGGAAACCTCCAAGCGCTCTTGGAGCTGTCCTGAGTGTTTCTGAGGTGGCTCTGTAGGGCGTTCTGACGCCTTCCAGCAGCCTCGGAGGCCCATCGGCAGTGAAAAGGCGACGTGCTACGAACGTACTGCTTGTGGACAGATTTTGAGCAATTTGGAAACTCTGAGCCCTCTTGGGAGCGTCTTCATCCTGTACCTGGAGGCCTCTGGGAGCGTCTGTGGGCCGCTGTGGAAGCGTATGGGGGTGTCTGGGGTTCGTCTTGGGGATATTGGACCATCTGGGCAGCCTCGAGGGCCGTCGGGGGTCCATCTGGGGCCGTCTTGGGGTGGTCTTGAGAGGCACATGAGCATTCTTGCAGCCGTCGTGGGAACCTCTTGGACCAGCTTGGGACGGTCTTGGGGGCCTCTTGGACCGTCTTGGAGCGTCGGGACGACGAAAAGTTGAGGAAGCCAAAAACCTTTAAAAGCCTGAAGGCAAGCAATGATTTTGGCTGTTTGGGTCCCTCTTGGGGATGCTCTTGGGGTTGTCTTGGGACGTCTTGGACGCAACTTGGGCCTTCCGGGAACCATCTTGGGCGTCTTGGAGCGGTCGTATGCGCGTCGAGGCACGCTTTGACCGTCTTCGACGCCTCTTGGGCCGTGTTTGCAAGCTCTTGGGCGGTCATAAGCGCCTATCGGGTTGTTTTTAGGCCCTCTTGGGCCGTCTTGGGGCGTTCTTGGGGGCCTATTGGGCGATCTTGGGACGGTCTTGGGGACTTCGTGGGCTGTCTTGGAGGGTCGGGACAACGAAGAAACAAGAAAACCAACAACCTGCAACAAAAACCAAAGGAATTCAATGATTTCGGCCTCTTGCAGCCCTCTTGGGAATGCTCTTGGGGCTCTCTTGGGACGTCTTGGAGGCCTCTTGGGCCATCTGGGAGCCATCTTGGGCGTCTTGGAGCGGTCTTAGGCGCGTCGTGGCACGCTTTGACCGTCTTCGACGCCTCTTGGGCCGTGTTTGCAAGCTCTCGGGCGGTCTTAAGCGCCTACTGGGTTGTTTTTAGGCCCTCTTGGGCCGTCTTGGGGCGCTCTTGGGGGCCTCTTGGGCGATCTTGGGACGGTCTTGAGGACTTCGTGGGCTGTCTTGGAGGGTCGGGACGACGACAAAAACAAGAAAACCGAAAACCTGCAAAAAACCAAAGGAATTCAATGATTTCGGCCTCTTGCAGCCCTCTTGGGAATGCTCTTGGGGCTCTCTTGGGACGTCTTGGAGGCCTCTTGGGCCATCTGGGAGCCATCTTGGGCGTCTTGGAGCGGTCTTAGGCGCGTCGTGGCACGCTTTGACTGTCTTCGACGCCTCTTGGGCCGTGTTTGCAAGCTCTTGGGCGGTCTTAAGCGCCTATCGGGTTGTTTTTAGGCCCTCTTGGGCCGTCTTGGGGCGCTCTTGGGGGCCTCT